TCACTTTTTTCAATGCCACTGTAACTTTGAACAATCACTAAATGTACTGTTGAAGACTACCTGTATATGAATATATATGAAAGTTTTATTTGATGTGTTAGTCATTTCAATATATGTGGCCACCTATGTTATACACGCAATTCTGGGCAGAAACAGAAGAACACTGATATTACAATAAAAAATAACAATGCACAACTAAAACAGAATATCAGTCACAAATAACCACCAGCAATAAATATAACCACAAACAATCACAATATCATTAGACATTCTCCAATTTCCCAATCCCATGCTTGGGATAATAGGGCCTTCTGAAAAACCAATCTAATTTCAGGGAGAAATACGCAGAGCAACTGAAAAAGTATGACTTCTTGGGTGCAATGGACCTGAACAGAACCTGGAACATGCACTTCTTCCCAGACCTGATGAGACAGGTATGGACAAGTGAAAGGCAGAGAAAGTCAATCTCCCCAGTTACTTTTTGTATTGAAAAGTATTTTGGAAAATTCTAAACTTCCATTTTAAAAATATAGCTGAAATATATGGGCAGTTTACAAGGACTTTAGAATAATGGATTACAACATAATTTTCATCCCTGAATATGTATTTGAAAGGGCCCTGGTATCTTTGATTTGGGCCTCTTCTACAGAAGTTCCACTTGGAGTTGATAATCAAATTATTGATAATATATCTTGTGAAGAGAAATAAGGTTTAACTATATTAATTTTGTGTTAAGTTATATACTGAAAACTTGAAATGCAGCTGTTTAAGAAATTTATTGAGCTTGCAACATACTCCAGAAGATAGGTTGCATTGTTGAAAAGAAATTGTTACTCTGAACCTAAAATCCCAGATTGAAGACATATTTTCAATTTCAGCTTTTTAATTACCTGTTTACCAATAAAATGAAAAAACTGATTAATATAATTCTGCATAATTTTCTGTTTAAGTATTATTTTAAAATTGCCATGTTATGCATCTAATGTAGTATGCATCATTTGCATGTTTAATGAATTTGTGTGCATTTTTTATTTTAGTTTATTAAAATCTGGTATTTGAATCTGACTTATCTTGAAGATAACAGCTTCCCTTCCATCTATTATCCACTTTGCAACTAAGAGTGGTTCTCTCCTAGCAATAGCATTAGTAATTACTGACATTATGATATCATGTCTTTCCAGGATATGTTGTTAGAAGCAGTCTTCCTTCCAATTCTAGAAATACCATGTACGCTTTTAAGACTATTTTGTTTCACCAAATAATACTTTCCACTATGGGTCATGCTAATCAAGCTAAAGTGCTAATATTTTACATTTTTTTCAACAAAGCTATTTTGCAGCCAAGCTCTCTCACAAGTGATCAATATTGCATCAGGCTCTACTGTATTGGAATTATCTGAGAAATCAATAAGCTGTAAATCAAACAAAGCGTAAAAGACCTACTTAGGATGTCAGAAGAATGTAATGTGCATCAAATTAGAAAGCAACACTATTTCTATGAGCATCCATCACAAGTCAGTGATATAGGGGAAGCAGTTATATCTATGAATATGAAGGCAAGGAATTCTCTGTAAAGGACCAGAGTGACTGCTCAACTTGATGATGCTCTGGAAAAAAAGGCCTTTTGGGATGCCAACATTGTACCTGTTTCCCATTCTCTATTCTCTCTCCAGTGGTCTTCCACTGAAGGGAGCACATGATTCCCATATCCAGGATTGGCTACAGCCCAATGATGGGATTCAATTTTTTTTACTACCGGTTCTGTGGGTGTGGCAGGGGAAGGATACTGTAAAATCTCCAGTCAGAGGTGGCATTTGCCGGTTCTTCGAACTACTCAGAATTGACGCTACCGATTCTCCAGAACTGGTCAGAACCTGCTGAATACCACCTCTGCTACAGCCACATACTATTTCAAATGGTAAAACTAGCTCCCCTAGATTCAGTTTCTGTGATCATTCCACCCACATTAATTGTGAGCAAGTTTAAATCTTGAATTCATGAACTTATTTTTTAAGAAGACTGTAAAGGTAAATATTTCAGGGCTTGCTTTCAGGCCTCACACCATGAAACAAATGGTTACAATCCTGTATGTAAAAGCCTCTACACTACTCGTCCATACCTTCTGTGGTTTAATACTTAAATATATCTTATGAGACTAGTTTATTTCACAATATAATCTGCCCCAGTCTGCTTTAGTAAGAACACAATTTTTCTTGCACTTTTGCTATATTGGATCAGTGGGAAAAATGCAAACAAAAGCAAAATTTCTCCATTGATTACAAAGCCCTGCAATTACGGATATAAATACATTTTTAATTTTTAGCATCCCAAACATGTAGAGATAATTTCAACCACAGTGAAAGGTAAGCCACCTAAACATTCACAAAGCATTATATTCCCATAAATTTGCCTAGCAAGATTTGCACAGTACTCCCTCCCTAAAACCACAAGATAAAGTAGTTTAATATCTCCTGCCTTTAAGAATGTAATTGCAACAAGTAACCACACTTTGAAAGAGTGCTGCAGAAAGCTTTACTGGAACTTCACCTTAGAGATTTTCAAGCTGTTCCTCTACCCACACAACCATTGTAAATATTTTTACTGATTTCTCCTTCTATTATCTAGTAATATGACCAAAAAGAAACAACTATTTTTTTTCATTTGGGATTATTAAAGAACAATTTATTACTATAAAGCAAACATGCACTGCATGTATTATTCAAAAAGCAGTCAACTATAATTCAAATGCAATCAATTTTTCTTTCTGTGATTTTGACAGACTGTTTCCATGCATTTAGGTCAAATATTGTTTTTAAGGGAAAAAAATATTCACACACATACATATAAATACACACAAATGATCTTAAACAAATGTGGCCAATGGACCTGTTTTGCAAATAACTTGTTGCTAAAGCCAATCCTGTGAAAAATGAGGGTAGAATTGCAAATATTTAAATCTGGAATGCCTATGAAAAGAGCAAATTGATAATGTAGTATAATGAAGATCTTTTGTCTTAAGTTCTAATTCCATCAGCCTTTCTCTCATTATATATCCTACATCAAGTTTTACAATAGGTTGGGAACTCAGAGGTTTCTTCTGATTTTGTCCATAGGGAAAAATTGTGCATATATGCAAATACTGATCATATGATATGACAGAACTATTTTTATAGCCATTTAATTTCTCTTTGATGTTCCTCAGGTAGACTGTGGTGTAGCTGCAATGATGGTGAATGCATATAATGTGTCCCAAAACTTTCCTACTCATCTTGCCCTGTTCCAGAACAGTTGGCTAGAATTTATTCCCCACATTAGAGCATTATAATTAATTCTTATTCTCCTTTCAGCTCTCCTTGCATCTAGTTGTTGTTCAATAGTTTGAGCTATTTATGCCAGGGATAAAAGATTGAGAGGGTCCAAAATAAACTAATTTTGAATGTATTTCATAGTGGTAACAGGCTCAGCCAGATATTATGATGCTCAATAATCTTCCTCCCATCCTTACTTCCATTCAGGGAGTTTAAATTGTTGTAGAAAAGTGAGGCTGAAGCCCCAGACTACAGATACTCAAACCACAACTAAAGTGGAGAGTGAAGCAATATGCAATTTACCAATGGAAGAGAAGTAGGAAATGTTTCAAGCCTTTAAGATGACACTGATATTATTCTTTAATCAACGAGATTTTTTAAAATGGTGGCTTTGTATTCAAAACCCTTTAAAATTAGTTGAAGGGAGAGGGAAAGCGGTAGCAATTTGACTGCAGATTGGTCCAAAATATAACATCCATTCAATAGAATGTAACAGTCTCATAGAATTGCCATTCAGAAGATACCCAAAATTGCTTAGCAAAGTCTGGTAGGATATCAAAAACATTCATTCTCCTTGGAGGATTCCCCCCCCCACACACACACACACAATCTCTCTTTAGGGGCTGCAGTACTGGCTCCTTGCCAACTTCATTCCATTAGAAAACACTTATTGGAAGTGCATAATGGATTCAAAATAAAGCATAACATATATTATTAGTTGTAGAATTCTTTGTTCTACACTTCAACTTGGAAGTATGTGCATTTAGCCTGGGGCTCTGTAGGATAGGAACTTGCTGCTTTTATCATTGCACTATCATTTTATTATTGCACTGAAAGCTCCATCCCTGTTGTACATACATGTAACATCACAATTCTTGTTCAAAAGTTCAATTCTTTAAAAAGCTCATTTTTACCGAAAAGGCTTTGTTTTAAATGATGCTTTGTCTTAAATCCAAATGTATGTAATTATGAGAAAACATTTTTATCAGTGGGTGAAATATATGAAATAAATAAATGCATTTCTCCTAAGCATTACCTCTACCCTCACAAATTCTATGTTGCAAAAAGTAGTTTTAGCTTTCCATAATTTTCCACATTGCTAAATGTGCTAACAGCACAACAAAATAAAAGACGGTGTTGAAACATTCACAGTCTAAAAAGAATTACTTCATCTACAAACTGGGGGAAGGTTTTTAAAAGTTGAAAGATGTATACCAGGGTGTAGATTTTTTGAATTTCAGACAATTGTCCTGCTTCTACCCCAGTCATCTATTATATTCCATAGTGTAAAACAAATATTCATTTATGTTCTTTTTCAACTTGCCAGTTGTGTTGCATTCACCAGACAAAGCACCACCAGAATTCTGAAATGAAGGGGGTGGTTGGTTGGTTGTTATGTTATGTCCATTCTTTTTTTTTACTTTCTTTTTTTCCTTTCTCCAGTTCCAAGAGCTAGCATTCATCTGTGTCCATGGAGACATCATACCCATGCCTTAATTATAAATTAAAGTCATTCCTATGTCTTGACATTACCATCATTCACTGTTTGCCGTATTTTCAGGGGAAGTAGCTTGTAGTTAAGAACCCTTGACCCCTTATATTATGTACAATCACACACAGAGGTCAGGGATTTCCAGCACCACAGAAATATTTAGGCATGGTTTGCAATGCTTGCTAGCCTGCAAAAGAAACGTTATTTCAGGTTGTTAATGACTATGCTGTCATGTTTATCAGAATAATTGATCATTTTCTTCCTCTTTCCAAATGTGGAGAAGCTGTTCTTAGCTTCCTGCTCCAGAAATACAGAGCCGTCCTTATTGGCAGATGATGTTGGGGTTCCTGGAATATATACATTGTGTTGATAATCCAGAGGAGAAATATGTTGTAAATACAGGGGTGCATATGGAGGGGTCCGGATGCTGTTAGGGGGACCAGATGTCTTCTTATGTTCTGTAAAAAACAATTTTTTTTTACTTTTTAGAGGGAAGCCCCTGGATAAAACACAGCACATCAAACACTGCCCATTTTGCAGAAGATGCTGGGTAAATGCTTCATTTTTCTAAATTATATTTCAATTTGAAGTAACATATCCAAGACAAAGAAAATGCATCTGTAAGTGGAAGAATATAGGTATTCCTCACTTACTAACTAACTTTGAAGTTACAATGGTGTAAAAAAATCCCTTCATGGCCACTCCTTGCATTTATGACTGTCTCAGTGTCCCATGGTCATGTAATGACCATTCACATGCTTTGCAACCAGCTTGTAATAAGAAGACATAGAGACTATGGTAGTAAAAGTCTAAGTTGCAGATGTGTTATGTTTCACTTCATGACTGTAGCACTCTACTTAACAACCAAATGAGAAATACTGTAAATCATAACCCATTGCAGTCATGTGGTGATTTTCTGTTTAGCAACTGTAGCACTTAGCAATCAATTTTCCAGTCACAGTTGTTGTCACTAAGCAAGGACTATCTAGCTGTATACAGGTAATCCTCAAGACATGGCCGTAATGGAGCCTGCCCATTGCAATCACATGTATTAGCATCATTAGGTGAAATGTGCTCAGGAGGCACTCCAAAATGGAGCAGTTTATCTGGCGGCTGCCATTTTGTCTCCACCCATAAATGGCAGCCACATTTGGGATGCCGCCACACAGCCCTGAGACAAACTGCTTCATTTGCTGCCTTATCAAGATCTGCAGACCCTGTGCAGCAAAATGAAGCAATTTCTCTGGTGGCCACCATTTTGTCCCACCTACAAAGGAACGGGACAAAAATGGCAACTGCATTTGGATTGCTTCCGCTTGGCCTGGGGACAAATGGCCAGCACTCATTCTACAACATGAGGTCTGGAGAGCTTCAGAAGGGCATGCAGAGGAGGCCCAAGCACTATGGGATGTGGGGGGGGGGAGAGGTAGGAGGGTACTGCAGGAACCCTGTGGTGCGTCATAAGGGCAATGACCAAATGGCCACAGTAGCCATCATAACTTTGAAATGGGGTCATGTATAGTTTTTGGGGGTCTGTCATAATTTCAAACATTTGTTAAATGGTGTGTCGTGCCTTAAGGATTACCTGTATGTGTAAAATTATGTTTTCCTATACATATATGGATAAACACAGAGAATAAACCTCCCAATCCATTCCATGGACAAAACCCAATTCTCCAGAAATTTATCTATGTGTTAGGATGGTTCATCCTAAGAAGTTCAACATATCAAGAAAATGGGAGCTTCAATTTTGTTGGCAGGAAGATTACCATATATTTATTTACTTACTTACTTCTATTATTGATTTGCCTGTCTTTCTCCTATAACGTAACATAGGGGGAAAAATGGTGCTCAACCATTCCCATGCAGCAAGTTCTCCTTTTACCATTATTCTAAATCAGAATATATTTAAAAGATCCCTGAATTTTGACATCATAAAACCGTCTGCACTCTATCACTTGAAGAACCAGCACCAGGTCTCTAGAAGGACATGACAGTTGTTTGCAACAAGAGGAAGAAAAGTTAATTATTCCTTCCTTACCCAAATATACATTTTGATGGTGTCCTAGCCACAGCCAGGTGTCCTAGCCACAGCCAGGACAGTGCCTCCAAGACTGAACTACAAATGTTGGCCATAATAGGTATCTCAAACAGTAATTTGTCTTCTGGCTATAAAAGTCAGTTTCTGAATAATTTTATGGCATTCTCCAAACTCATAACAATCATAACAAGTGGCCAAGTTTCACTAAGATCTATTCTTGGCCTTCTGTCCCTAAACAGCCTATTCCACTTTTCAATCAGCGCCTGACATATCCTGTTCTATTATCTTGCAATTCATACTAAAGGTAGGATCAGATCAGTAAGAATCTGATTGCAAAGATCATTCAAAAGTAAGGAGAGACCTGTCAATCACTGAACACCCAAGCAAATACCGGAAGCTTCCTTTCTTTTCTTACTTTTTTAAAATTTATTTCATTGCTTTTTAATTAATGATAAATAAGAAACACAAAGCACAAAAATAATAGTAATGGAAACATATACATTGCCAAAAAGAAATAAAAGAAATAAAAAGTGTTTTAACAAAATGAAAAAAATATGAAAAAGGTTTGCAGAGATTTTGAACTGGGAAAAGCAGTTAAGTCAAATTGCCCTGTTTGGAATGAATAAAAATATTTTCTACAATGCCTCAATTTGTTTCAGATTTGGGATTCCTCTGTAGTTGAAACCCAGTCCTGGAATGAATGAAATATGAATATGGACATAGACATGGACATGGACATGGATACACAGAGGGAAAGGGAGGGAGGGGGAGAGAGAGACAGAGAGAGAGAGAGAGAATGGGAAGCTGACAGCAAACAAATCAGGGCTAGAAACTAGATTGAGAGTTTGAAAAAAAAGCTGGAGGGAATTAGGATAGATTTTTTTTTATTGGTTTGACATATGTAATTAAAAGAAAGTTCCAATGCATGGTCTTGTGCTTATAAAATGGGTTTGAAAATGTGTGTGTGTGTGTGTGTGTGTGTGTGTATCTAAAGTTTGCAAAATATTATTAAGAATGAAAGTATATATGTTAAAAGGAAGTTAAAACATTTCTGTTGGGGTATCGCTTCTGGTTTCTATAAAATAGAAAAAAATAAATTTAGAATTTAGTTTGAAGATTTAATAATTATGCAGTTGTAGAACTAGCTTGTAATAATTATAAGTAATGTAAAAAGTTGAGGTTGTAACCGTATTAGTATTTTACTGTGCTTTTTCTTTCCCCTTTTTAAAAAATATCCTCCGTTCTCCTTTTTTAAAAATCTTTATTTTCATTATATTTTATCTTATAATAAACATCAATAAAACACATTTTTTTAAAAGAAAAACCATCCCAGAAGAAATCATGGCAAAAACCTTTTGTGCTGTTGTCAAGGAAACGACATAGACTTGTCACCTGAAACCCAACTCAACTAGAAGGAGATCCTAATTCATAACAGCTATACATTTGTTTGCTTGCTTCCCACCATCAGTTTTATTCTTATTCTTACAACCCTGGTAGACAGGTTTGACTGAGAAATAATAGCCAAAAAAGTAAGTAAGACGGGAGGTAAACAACTGAGGGAGGTTTTCATTATCTCAAAAATTACAGAAATCATTAGATTTTAGGATTCTACAATCCAAAACTCACCAGACATTGGCGTGACCAAAGTGCACAATCTATCATGGTCTTTCTGAACTCCTTTCCAAACTTTTCCTACATCCTCTAGGCTCTGTGAACTAGAACATAAGAAATAAAAAAGAGACATATCCAGCCATAAGATAAGCACTCATAAAATATTTAGCAACTATTCTCCTAAAGATAATAAGGCAACCCTCCCCTCCCCTATAATACCTCTTCAGTATTGGTTGTTTTGATGGCAGCCAGTCTGCATTGGCCTGTTTTACCTACAAATTTAAAAACAAAGGTTTTGAATTAAATACATATCCTCAGGACAGCTTGACTACATATATTTGTTCTGGTAACCTTTTTGTGCTTTGAAAGCAATTGCTCCTGTAACAACTAAGAATGGCATACAGCAGGACGACAAGCAAGACAATTAAGAGACAAGAAGAGTCTTTCAAGCTCTCCCATACTAGGAAGCTTCAGCTGATGTGGAATTGCTCGACTGAAACAGAATAAACACACTACTTATCAAAGGCTAGGATCCGCTACAAATCACCCCTCCCTGGTAAACAATTTCAAATCCTTTCTCAAAGCAGTCAGTACCAAATTCTCAGGATTCTGGAAGAGTTTTTCTGTCACCTCTTCTGGAAAGCTTCAGGGACAATACTCCAAATGGTATTGCATTCCCAACTCTTAACAAATCTAGCCAGCCTGCCAAGCGCATCACAAAATAGTTTAATTCCTGAAAAGTTCCATTCAGTTTAGCCATTTTGTACATTTCTGGTCCACAGTAGCTAAGGAAAAGGGCCCTTTTCCTATTTTCTGTCAGATCCTGAGGATCATTTGCTTCCATAAACATTCAAAATCGACCCATATATGAAGACCATTCATCTTTAGCTGGGTTGAAAGGAGTTGGTAGAGAGTCATCTTTGGAATGGCCGATGCAGGTTTGCTGCAATGATGGCCACTGATGCCACGTGTCCCTTGTCCTTTGTTCTCTTCAAAACCCCACCTTAGTCACCAGTGTTAAGTTGGGGCAGGAGACACCAAATAGCAAAAACAGCTCTTTACTGGTAGACCAGTACACAGAAGTGGTCTGGCTGTCCAACAACTCTCTCTTTTATAGAGAGCTGTTCCTTGAATCTTCTGCCTGTCCTGTGAACCAATCGTTTTAAACTTTGGTTCCTTCCGCCAGGACGGCAGACTAGAGGGAAACCTTCAACTCAAGGTTTCCCTCCTAATTAACATATACAACAGGAATAGCACTGCTATATGGGCTGCATATACTGCATGTACAGAATGCATCTTCCTGCATTCTGTTTTTTCTCTTTTTTCTAACCTATTACATTTCTTTCAGTAATGAAAGTGAAGTACAATACACTACAGTAACTGGAAAGTTTTTCAAAGAGGTGTAATTGTTACTTTTAAACTTCCCGAATCAGCACATGCTGGCTCTTTTATCGGAAGGCGCGACTATCTTCACTGAAAAGTGCCGTATCTAAGGTGATACTGATTTCTTTCTGAACTTCTGGCGTGATTTATTCGCATACTGTATTATATCCAGTACCAGTTCCCTTCAGACCCTGAGTAAGTTGAACAAGCATGAAGAAAACAGTTCAGGAAAAGCTAGGGTTGCGTCGTTTGTTAGAAGACAACACCTGACAGTTGTTTTGACAGATGCCCGATCCCTATGCAAGAATACGGGTTTCAAAAAAATCATCCAGCCCTCTTTTAATTTGCGGGCGAATAACATGCTGGGCAGCGAAAGGGGGCGCACTTTCCAAAGAGGGACCCACCCGCCTGTTTCCCGGAGATGGTTGAAATGTGGTGGCGTCATTCAGACTCGCTTTGGCTGCATTTCAAAGCCCGAACTCATTGCCCTAGTTTTACGCTTTCGCCTTAATTGGCCTCGTTATCGCGGGGAGCGGGAAGGGGGCGCCTAACTCGCTCGTTCGCTCGGCACCCGACAGAGAGCCAGCCTGTCGAGGGAGAGCCGTTGCCAAGAGGCGCTAAAGCTCTTCCTCTGTCTACAGGGATTTGGGGGCGCGGTTCTTGCAAAAGCCACTTTCGTCGCCTGAAAGGAGACTAAAAGAGCCCCCCTTTCTCTCGTGGAAGGACAGCATCCTCGCCTCTTTTCAGCGGAGAGGATGGGGGCCGCCGGGGATCGGCTCCCCAGCCGGCCGCTCTTGCTCTGGTTTCCAATACCTGACAGGAGAGGCAGGCAGGAAAAGCGTGCGCCATGGAAACAAGGAGCGCTCTCCAGAGGCCCACGGGAAGCATGCAATAAAGCTTGGGGAGGGTTCTGAGGGGAAATGGGTCGGAGGAAAAAAATAAACATGAGATGAGATGGATGACAGTGTTTCTTCTGCTCTATTTCAAATGTTAAACGACCGACTCTTGAATGAACAAGACAGGCAGGGAATAGGCAGAAATTGCGGGAGTCCTTGGTGAAATAAACGGAAGTATATAGCTGGGAATGGAATAAGAGCACTGGATCCAGAAGCCCCACAATCTTCTGAGAGTAATTTTCACTGATAATTATTTCTATTAAGAGCCAGGTTGGTCTGAGGAATAAAATGCAGGGCTAGGAATGGGGAAACAGGACTTCTAGCCTTTCCTTAAGTATGGAAGCCCACTAAGTCACTTTGGGTTATTTGAGGAGAAGAGCTGGTCTAATCTATGGTGGCAACGATCCTGGAGTCCTTTCATAAATTTATGAAAGTTGATGCCTTTTATTTGTTCAAAATAGTGTTACCAAGATCCTGATTTTGGACCAGTCACTCGCTCAGCCCTAGGAATAAGGCAAGAACAAGCCACTTCTGAAAATATTGCCAAGAAACTGCCGGCACCTGTCCACATCAGTGACTGGGAGTCAAGACTGACTTGGGGGGAAAATATCAAATGTGCAATTATTACATGATGTGCAATGTGAAACTATATTAGCAGCAAAGATTTTAAGAGTAAAGGGCTTTTAAAGTTTTCTTGAAAATCTTAGGAAGGGGGAATTCCCAACTTGCTTCTCCCAAAGATGTCTTGTGAAAGAATCAGGAAAAAACAACAATGTGGAAATATTAAATATACTTAAGGTTCTAGATATAAATAAACAACAACAACAACAACTCCATCTGGAAAACAAGGGCCAATGAGTTTCATCTAGCCATTAGTGTTCCCAAAGACCCGTTTTTTCCTCCATCCAGCTGATCAGCCACCTGGTATAAAATGGAAAACAGAACTGTTATCCCTGATTTAACCTGGCCAAAATGCTGAGAATGGGTCAAGGGTAATTACCTTCCCTCAGAGTGATCAAGTTAAATCTCATCTTTCCAGGAATTTCTTTCCAGTGATTGTGAGTGGCTAGGCTTTACTGATCATTTCCCAGCAAGCTCTTTGAATCAAAGAGGAAGATCTATGTCTTTATGCAAATGCAATCTCTGTATCTGTCAGTATATATGCAGCCCATGTGCAGCCCTAGCCCAACAGCCATCAGAGTAGGTGGCCCATGGAACTGAGAAGAGAAAAAGGCTCTGGCACACATTTTGAAAAGGTTGTGAGAAGGAAGAAGCATATTTTAAAGTCTATTTATTAACTCCTAATAAGGAAGGAAGGAAGGAAGAAAAATACTTGATATACAAGCAGAAGAATTTAGATATGGTTTAACTAATACATTTTGAGTGAGGCAATATTTTCTCCAAGTTGTGATTGAGAATTAAGATGGTTATTACAAATAGCTGAATATTCTTTGATATTTCTATCTAATTTGCCATCACAGAAAATGGTTAAACGATTTGCATACTGGTTACAAAGAATAATGAACTATCACTGGAGGCATTGGATTTTGCATATTTTCGTACTTTTCTCTACAGAGAAAATGGGTAATGTTTACTCCACTATCCAATCACGTTTATTCTGCAACAAAAATAAAATAAAATAATAATCTAAGTACCCTATCAGAGTGTCTGAAGAATCAGCATGGGTAGATAATCCCAATAATTTTCTGACTTGGTCATGCCAGCACAACTCATTCATTCTCCCCTCAGCCCTTGTTCTTGTACTGTAGTTTCAGAGGTGGCTTTATAATTCTTCACCAGCCCTTCAGCTGCCTGGAACTCTCATTCCAGTCCTGTACCTGTCTTATTCCAGAAAGCCTTTACAGTCTTCCAGACCACTTCTGGATCAGGTGGTAGGGGACTCATTCCATTCTTTTCCAAAGCCTGTCCTTGTACTAAGGGAGGATCTGTGGGAACATTGTCACTTCTGCCTTTCTATCACAAGATCCACCAATTAATCTTTTACAAAATATAGGTGACATACATAATTCATCTTACATTCTATTTCCATTCCAAATGTTTTCCATGCTTTATTTTGCAACCCTTGTTCAGGTTCAGCTTGCACTGATTTTCATTTCAGTTTTTTCCCCTGTGGACTTTCAGAGAGCTCCCTTATTCCCTGTGGCCCAGAAGATACCGGGAGTAAAGCAAAGGGCAATCTAAGGCCATCAAATTCTTCCGGTATAAATGAAAGGGGTAAAGGGGAGCCCATTTCAGCCATTTCAAAGGGGTTTATACTTTGAGGATTTCTAAGAGCTAAAAGGGAAGTGTACCATTCTTCCAGAGAGATAAAAACAGAAGAAAACATGAGAAGGAAGCTGGAGGTTGTTTTCATTCAAAATTTCATTGTGTGCAAAGATTCACCTTCTTCCCTAAGAAGTTAGCCTTAAACTCAAGAGGAATAAGTGCCTCCAAGCCTCAGTGCCCTAGATGTACAACTTAAGCGGTTTCATTTTTTTTTCTTTCTGTCTGTCTCTCTCCCTCCCCCCCCCCCCCCCGGGAACCCCCCCCCCCTTCTTTCACCGCCTCAACTCTTGGCTAGAGGAGCTGGTGCGGCCTTGCTGCCCTTTCCTCTATCAGCCTGAGACCAGAGGGGTGGAAATCAGCTCAAGACATCAAGTCACTAGGGGGAGTTTTGAGCTGACAAGAACATACCATACAAGGATATCTAACAAGGAAAATGAAAATGGACAAAGAAACCCTGTCTAGAGAATGGTGAGGGCATTTTTCAAAGAGCTGCAGAACCGCATGTATTTTATCCATGTGCTGCTTTGCACCTTCAGCCATCCTGCTTTATTATCAAAGGAAGTACAAATGGTGATAATTTTTCCTCCTCATCCCCAGCAACCTAGACCCCTTTTTCATCTTATTCAGCTTTGGCATGGGCAGGAGTTGATTGCTGTCCCAAAGCATCCTCTCTCTCTTTTCGGCATAAAGCAGTATGGCATTAATCTTACGTGATGCCAAAAACAACATAAGAGATGGGGACCCAACAATGGATGAGATATCCAGGTAAGGCTGGGCTACCTAAGTGGCAGGTGCTCATCCTCTGGAAATCCTTCCTCATGGAAGGATTCCAGGGTCTGGCAAAGTCTCCTGAGCTCAACAGGACTCTTCTCTCAGCAATGGTCCTTGGCTTGTCCAGAGAGCCTTGCTGAGGGACTCCTTCAGTTAGCAGCGAAGGAAAGACTCCGCCCGGTCCTTCTCAACTCTGCGATTGACCTGCAGGATCCCATCGCAAATGCAAGCCGGGCAATTGACTCTTAGCAAAAGTGGCGGAGCCTGAGGTTTTTATCTCAACCGGCTCCGCTGGGCTTCCTTCTCCCAGTCGAAGGGAATGAAGTGCCCCATTACTGCCCTCTCCCACAGAGAACCAGGTATCGGTCTTAAGGACCGCCGAGTCCCATTGCGCCCGAGTAAGTTTGGGCAAATAATTACGTAATGAGCCGGAGTTTTGGCTGAGCCCGATGGCTCTTTTGGGGAAAGGGCCGGGCCGCAATCTTCAAAAAGTTGGGCGAGACTGAAAACATCTCCCCCTCTCGCGAGTTGCTTTCCTGTTGTATTCCAGGTTCCGGACCCTGTTTGCCTTTCCAGCAGGCTACCTCCCGGAGAGGGTTCCCCACCCCTCGGGACACCCAAGAAGCTACCTGGTCGGCGAGCTGCCGAGAGTTATTGGCCCCTCGGGTTTTCGGGCCGGGAGCCGGCGGCAAGTTCTGAGGGCCCGCTTCGTTGTTCCTCGGAGGGGCGGGGCTGCAAGCTTTCAGGAACATGAAGTCGCTCTTGGCCGATGCTGGGCTCAGGCAGACTTTATAGCAATAGGCAGGAGGGCCTGCGCTGGCTCCGACGTCCCCGCAGTCGCCCGAGGAGACCGGCGCGTTGACGCTGCCGGAGTTCTTCAGGCGGTCTGAGGCAGGAGCCGAGCGCTCACACGAGCCACAACCGCCGCCGCAGCAGCAGAAGGCAGCGGAGCCGCCGCCCTCCCCGCCACAAGACAGCTGGGAGCAGGCATAGTCGGGGAAGGTCAGCCGCTCCTTGGGGCACTTGACCACCGTGAGGATAACGATGGCCACAAGGAAAGTGAAGGAGACGGAGCCCAGAGAGGCGATCAGGTAGAGGGTAAGCCTGGAAGAAGCCGTCTCGCCTCCCGGAGGAAGCTCGCGGAAGTCCGAGAGCACCTCTGGCACGCTGTCCACCACCGAGAGCAAGAGGGCCACGGAGGCCGAGAGCGGGGGCTGCCCGTTGTCCCGCACCTGGACGAGAAGGCGGTGCTTCGGGGCATCTTTGGCCAGGAAGGCGCGGACGGTGCGGATTTCGCCCGTGTAGAGGGCCACGCTGAAGAGGCTGGCATCGGTAGCTTGGACTATCCGGTAGGAAAGCCGCGAGTTCTGTCCTGCATCGGCGTCCACTGCGGAGACTTTACCCACCAAGTAGCCGGGCTCTGCTGAGCGAGGCACCACCTCCACAGCCACGGAACCATTGCGGGGCATGGGAGCCACGACCAAGGGCGCGTTGTCGTTTTGGTCCAGCACGAAGACGTGGACCGTGGCGTTCCCGCTAAGAGGAGGGAACCCGGCGTCCTGAGCCACGACTTGGATCTGGAAGTTGCGAATCTGCTCGTAGTCCAGGGAGCGCAGAGCATACATGTGCCCGCTGTCCGAGTTGATGGAGACGTAGGTGGCCACGGGCATGCCCTGGATCTGGCCGTCCGCGATGGAGTAGGACAAGTAAGCGTTCTGTTGGCAGTCTGGGTCCAGCGCACTGACGGAGCAGATCGACGCCCCAGGAGCGTTGTTCTCAGTCACATAGACGCTGTAAGAGGGTTGCAGGAAGCGGGGTGCGTTGTCGTTGATATCAGACACCTGGACTGTCAGGATCTTCTTGGTAGCCAGTGCTGGAGACCCCAGATCTTGGGCGGTGATGCTGACATTATATTCGGGCACAGTCTCACGGTCGAGTGGTGCGGTAGTTACTAGTGCATAATAGTTGTGGAAAGACGACTGAAGCTGAAAGGGTGTATCGGTTGGGATTTCGCAGCTCACCTTGCCGTTGTCTCCGGAATCTCTATCTAGCACGCTGATTACAGCTATGACAGTACCGGGAGGTGCATCCTCCAAAACTGGTGTGGAGACCGAGGTGAGGGTCACCTCCGGTGCGTTATCATTGACATCCAAGAGGTGCACCAACACCCGACAGTGAATGGCAACTGCAGAGGGGCCCCGGTCCTTGGCCTGCACATATAGCTCATGGAGATCAGCTCGCTCATAGTCCAATTGGCCTTTCAGGCGCACTTGCCCAGTATGGGGCTCCACGCTAAAAAGCTCCCGCACACCTAGTGGAGCGTGCCCGCTGAATGAATACTCAATTTCGCCATTGGTTCCCTCATCCAAGTCAGTAGCATTGAGCTTGATAGCCAGAGTCCCTTTGGGCGCATCCTCCGGCAGGCTTACGCTGTAAGTGGACTGATCAAAGACTGGCACATTGTCGTTGGCATCCAACACCATGATCACAACTCTAGCTGTGCCCGAGCGCTCGGGGATACCACCATCCAAAGCCGTGAGCAAGACCCTGTGACTACGCTGTTGCTCTCGGTCCAGACTCCTCTCCAGCACCAGCTCTGCAAACTTGCTGCCGTCACTGCGAGTCTGCACCTCCAGCGAGAAATAACCATTAGGGCTGAGTCTGTAAGTACGTAGGGAGTTTGTGCCCACGTCGGGATCCTGTGCACTCTCCAGGGGAAAGCGGGCCCCGGGTAGTGCTGATTCTGTCACTTCCAGCACATATTCTTGCCAAGGGAACCGGGGTGCATTGTCGTTGATGTCTAGCACTTCCACTTCGATGCGATAAAGCTCAAGGGGGCTCTCGATGACCAGCTGCAGGTGCAGGAGGCAGGCCTTGCTGCTCTCGCACACCTCTTCCCTATCTATTTTCTCGTTAACAAAGAGAATCCCATTTTCCAGATTCACCTCCAGGTGCTGCTTACTCCCCGCCCGGGACGCAATACGAAACCGCCTGGCTGATAATTCGGATACATCCAGACCTAAGTCTTCCGCGATGTTGGCCACAAAGGCTCCGTGGTCCAGTTCTTCGGGTACCGAGTAGCGTAGCTGGCCAGCTGCTGGAGCCGGAGCCGGAGCCAAAGCCAAGCAAGAACTTAGCAGGAGCAACACCTCGAGTCTTCCCCAACTCGGAGCGCAGCTCGTCAAGCTCTGAGAGAGCCTTAGTTTCCCCGTACAATATTCCCAGTCCCAGCGGGAAGTCCCGCTGCCTCGATCGGGAAGAGACATCGGCGGGCTCAGAAGGGACGCGACAGAGCACTGGCTCTGGCTCTGGCTCTGGCTCCGCCTCAGCTGCAGCCTCCGCTCCTTCCCTTGCGCGATCGATTGACTTAGACTTCCAACTACTTTCGGTTGGCAGAGCGAGCCAGCAAAGGAGGAACCGCTTGCCATTTCAGCACCGTATTGGTGGACAGCGCCGTCGAGCCAGAGCCCCAACTGCTGCGACGACGACGACGACGAGTGGCAGAACGATTAACCCCTCGGTGGGCAGAAGATGTGGCGAAGAAGTAAGGAAAGCAAGAATGGGGGGAGAGGGGAGAGACAGAAAGACACGTTCATGCAACAGGCTTAACCCAGTTTTGTAAGGAGAGTGAGGGTTGGGGAGGGTGTTGTATTGTTTGCATTCAGGAACCTGATTAAGCCTATTCGATTCACAAGCTAACTGATCAGGCTGTGTTCATGCAAGACAGTAAGATCCAAAGATCACATCTGCTTAATCTTTACGTGATCTGATCAAGCATGTCCTGTGAATACAGTCATAGGGAGACTGTTTTTATTCTTATACCATAAAGACCCAACTTTCCAGTGGAAAAAATAGATAGGCAATGGATGTATTTCATGATGCCGACAAGGAGAAACCAGCTTGGACCCCCCTCATAGTTGTTCATGATTCTTACATGGGGTACACTTGAAAATGGCAAATCTTTCATGCACAATAACGGTGTTATATTCACTGGAGCCACAGTGAAGGAAACATAAGGCTTTAAATGTGGATTAAAATTCCTGACAGTTTTTATCTCACCTTGCTGAAATTACTGGCAAAGGATAGATATGCACATATTAAATCATAATAATTATATATCTAAGTATTTATGGCACTATTCATACCATAAAACATTAACCTCTCTCATAGTATCTGCATAACTGATTCAATCTAGTAGGGTTGGTAGATGGTATATTCTAGGCTCCTTTGTTTAAACAATGCCATCTATTGGGGTCTTGGAAGTGTTTCCTGTAGCAGCACCTATTTTCTGGAATGAGGTTACCTGAAGAGCCAGATGACCACTCCGCTGGCTTGAAGGAGCTTGAAGAACTGACTTTTCTTCCAGGACTTTGGTAAGGATTAGTGTCCCAACTCCCATAACTGCCTAGGCTTTTTTCCTCAGTATTTTTACTTACAAGTTGCCTAGAATCTTTGGAAGTCAGACAACAAACAAATTAAATAAATAGAAAGACCTGGGGGCCTGTATGCTCTTGGGTTCTCATAATTTTACTGAGGCCCATCTGAAAAAAATACCAATTATAGATATAATGATTTTTGGCATTATAGCACACAAATGACTATAAGGACTATAAGGATTCAAGGATATATGGGTTTCCAGTTAAAAGTACAATCAAATACTAGTTGGAACCTGTTTCCATGATTCAACCATGATTTCCCTTAATCTCTCAATGTCTATTCTATCTTCCAACATCATATCCTTGCAAACCATTTCTCTGTATTAGGATGTCACTTCTGTAATGGAATGGCTCCAGACCTATTTGAAGGATACATTTCAGACCTTTACTGAGGGATGTTGTCTTAATTCACAAAGCATTATCATTGGAATTGGTCCCTCAAGGATTCCACTTTGTTTCCCTTGGTTTTAGTATCTATGCTGTACAAAATATTTTGTTTGAAAAGCCAGCCATGCATGAACACAAAAAACTCAACAACTCTTTCTCATGCCTTGGAACTTTTGCACTATGATAGTAGTCAGAAATTACAAGCTTCATTACTGTAGTGGTTAATTTGTGTAGATGCATGTGGTGTTATGTTTTAATGATGGCTTCAAGTAGATATTAAGTAAAATCTTGAACACTCTGAGACACGCTTTGGAGCTATAGCAGCACTACCAATTATCAGATGCATAATAGTCATGTCACATTCCATGCAGAGAAATGCAATTTGTGATTTGAAGTTGGTTTCAAGGAGGTCTGATTTAAAAACTAAAAGATCCATGAAGATTTATGCCTCAAGGCCATGCTTATGAACGATGGTAGAAGCAATCATCATTCAATTGCAATGGTTTATTCCTGCAAGGAGATAAAAATTGTGGCTTGCTGATGGTTTCAGGGGAATTCAAACATCATAAGGATCTATGAGAAACCCTAAGGATATAACTTTTACCCCGACTGAAGACAACATTAATTTTGCTTGGGGATTGTGGGAATTCCTCCCTTTCCACATGTTTACTTCAGTCTCAACATTAGGCTAGATTAGAGAGCCCAATGCATCAAAGGACAAATCCGCCATACCCTGACATTATACTCTTCATGGATTTAACCTTTAACAGATGGTTAAGCTTCTACGGAATTGATTACATTTTACTGTACACCATTTTCCTTGTAATACTGATTATTATTATTATTTTAATTACTGAAGCGAGGATTATATCCCAGACAGACGGATCAAGGGTGATTCCATCAGCATTGAATCATATAGCTCCCCCCTTCCCCTCCTTTCGTAACACCCATTCTTCGGGAGCCACAAGAATTCCAACTGTGTCTAATCTCATGGACTCCAGCAGCGCCCGCGGAAAGAAGCTGTTCTACAGGTTTTACATTAACCTTTTCACAGAGGGCTAGGAGGCTGAAGTAAATTGACTGCGGTCCATTGCTCAAGCTAGCACAGGGATTTATGGTGATGGGATATGTGCGTTTGCATGGAATGGTTCTTAGGCTTTGGTACTTTGAATGGTTTCCCTCTGCAAGCAGAGTAAACCATGTGCCAAAAAGACTCATTTTATTCTGACATCTCACAAACAATTGAATACTCAAAGCATTGTTTAAGCCAAGATTAGTCATTCAAGCCCATTCACAATAACCCCAATCAACTGAAATAATATACACTCTTTAAAGAAGCACGCTCATTTGGAATACATTCGAACGTTACTCCCTCAGGAATCCTTTTCTTGGACATTTTGTTTAGTGGCCTGGCCCCACAGAGAGCTGTTCCATTTCATTTCCCACATTACCATCCTCATCATTCTTTGGGTACAATTTTGTCTCCTTCTCCAGTCAACCATCTCGGATCCCATTTGCAGAAGGCTGCTGGCTCACTTATCCTCCTAGTCATAATTTAGGTGGATGAAAACAACCAGGGGTGTCTCCTGGCATTAATCAAAGAATATTATGCACACAGCAGTCTTCTGAACAAAACATTCCAGAGTGCAATTTAGGGGTAAAGAAAGAAATAATATGTAAACTATTGATTTAAGACAGGGGTGTCCAACCTTGGCAACTTTAAGACTTATGGACTTCAACTCCCAGAATTCCTCAGCCAGCTTTGCTGGCTGAGGAATTCTGGGAGTTGAAGTCCATAAGTCTTAAAGTTGCCAAGGTTGGACACCCCTGAGATTCTGAAGAAGTGCTGTGGGATTTCTTGCCTTTTTTTTTTCTTTGCACATATAAATCAGGTGAGACATAAAAGTGCTCCCCAATGTTTAAGTTCTTTCCCTCCCTCCCCTCCCCCCATGTTAAATATTCAAAGTTTTGGAGGCATTTTCTTTCATCCACCATAGATGAAAATCACAGATCAGACAGAGAAAGGAACAAGTGAGAGGAGGGAAGAAAGTTATGCACCTCCAACATTAAAGGCTATTTTTAAAACAACCCTCACTACAGAAAAATGGAAGACAGGTTGAGCCAAGATACCATCATGATGAAACCGAGAAGAGAAAGCAGAATGGGAAACATTTCCATCTGAGGTGGAATTACAATTTATGTATTGATCAAATTAATTTAGTAAATTAATACACCTATAAGAAGTAGCACTATTTTTGCAGAAACCCCATACATTCCTGGAACAATTTGCTTCAAGGTAGCATGTTGACACAGGAAAAAAAAGCAAGTCAGTCTTAACTGGTTCAATGTAACTATCCACTTTGAAGACTGTGAAGGACATTGAAGTAGCTGCTTCTCTAAGTCACAAAATGATGAGATACTTCACACAGCAGCCTAACAGTCTTAAAGCTAATTAAATATAGATAGATGACACATTTATTAGGTGAATCCACATTTGGCCATAACATAATCCAAGAGTGCTCATCAACAATTGCTTATTAAATTGGAAGGAGATATTGAATGGGATGCTGCAATGTTCAGTTTGGAACGTAGTACCATTTAATATTTTTATAATTTATTTGGACAAGGAGGTGAAGGAAATGTTTAATAAAACTTTAATTATATTCTGGGATGTTTTGGTTACAGAACTAGAAAATAATAAAAGGAATTTTAATATAGACAACAGAAGATACCCACTTGGTCATCAGTGTATATAAAAACAATTGTTGAATTATAATTCAAGATCTAATAGTTTTAAGATACAAATTTCTAGTATATATTTTGCGTTATCCTTTTATATGCATATATCCACATAGACATTGAAAGGTATTTTCTAGCGTCAAAACAGTTGGTACATTATTTCTCATTTACCTCTGGAAATGAGAAATTCTAATAGCTTGTGGAAAGGAATCCAGAAAGAGATGTTTTAGACTGTTCTTAACAGGAATTCCTAGAAGCATATTCCCAGGCTGAATATCCAGCTCAGGTGATCCATTCTGTAAAAAAACTTCTGTCAGTAGCAGCTTCGATTATATTGCTTGTTTAGTGTGTTTTAACACTGCTTCAGTTTGATTTTACACAAAGCTTCACAACACTCAGAAACCTATGTAAAATCTATGCAGAAACCCCAAAGGAAGTAGTTACTAATCAAAACTGGAAACAATATTAAAGAGTGTGAAATTGAAGCAATCATATGGTAACTTAATTTCCTAATCACAATAGACAAATTCAGGTTATCCATCAAAATCAGCCACCACTTATTTTTGGTTACAGCTCTCTGACCATCTGGAATGATGAGTTTTTCAGTTCTTACAAGAATGTATCCAATCCTTCTTTGAACTACATGGAAGTGTTAATTAAAATGACAAGACATAAAGGAAAATATACAATTTACAATATGCATTGTAAAAATGTGCATTACAGTGTTAAAATGCTACCCTATCTTACTTACTGTGTTTGAAGTACTTACAACCCTGTACCTTAGGTCAGATCAGCAGTATTATCCCAGATGAAAGGCTGGGGGTGGGGGGATGAGTGAGTGAGTGACAGCGTTGCAGAAAGGAGATTTGAACCATTAATTTCCCTATTTATCGCTCAGTCTCTTAGTTACCATCCTCTGATAAATTCTCAAAATTGAAAGACAACCATGGATTAAAACATACACGGTGATTTACATTGTATTTTATTTGGGGGGGGGGGGCGGGGGGTGTTACATGTTGGCTCCCATTAATTTTGATAGGTAGAATAGTGTTTTTCTTAATTACATTTCCTTTGAAATTGCTATTTTCAAAGTGACAAGGAATTTTGTATTAGATTGACTCCTAGATGTCCACCTAAGATTTCTACCTACTCTCAGATAATTCATGTACTCATATACCAAAAGCCATTTGAGTGCTTCAAATCAACACACGTTTGAGTCAAGTATCTATGCAACCTCCATGTCATAGAAGCCAATACCAAACATAGGCAACATTGCCATATTCTGAAAGTGTGGACATTTGTCTTCTCTCTTTCCATAGATAGTAAAGTTATGTCCTCCTTATGCACCTGATACATGCTATACTCTCAGTATCATAACCAAAAAGTGTCTGATGGTGGCAGTATCAAATTTGGTCAGCTACTATATCCTTTTCATGCACTTCCTCTTATAAACATGTACTACTGTAGTACATTATTAAAACCGTATCGTTAATTGAAGTGAAATAAGTATAATACACTTTAACATTTAATGTATCAAAGTAAACAGAAGGCAACATAACAGAACAGCTGCAGTTGGAAGGGACCTTCAAGATCATTTAGTCCAACCCCCTTGTTCAAGCAAGAGACTCTATATCGTGTCAGTCAAATGGCTGTCCATTCTTTTTTAAAAAACCTCCAGTGATGAAGCAGCTACAACTTCTGGAGGCAAGGCATTCCACAGATTAATTGTTCTCACCGTCAAGATATTTGTCCTTCCAATTGAAGGCAAATAAATGTATTCCAGGTTCATGTTGCAGAATCCAATCTGTAAATGGAAGTATATAGAAATATATGGAAA